CCTTGTACATAACGTCTCACACGTAAATTATGCTTAACTATACACGTGACGTGACATTCATTGAGGTATTATGTGTTATATGTTTATTTCTAAAATGAATAGTATTATAATTTGTGTAGGAGTAAAAGAAGAGGAAGCTATTAGTGCGCGTAAAATGAAATCGGCCGTTTAGGTAATCTTACATAAAATGTAAGTTAAATTTAAGATAATCATTAGATCATACGATATCATACAGTTACTAATATCGTTTGTGATGGAAGCCTTTTACAAAATGTATAACTTTTGCACTTTATAATTAATTCATTTATCGAAAAAAAAGTATGCTTGGAATGAGCTGGACAAAGATGGGCTGCGTTAAAATTGTACTGTATTCTGGAAAGTTTTACTTCGTATTTATGTAGTTTAAATATTTGGAGTGTGATTAACCTCGTTGATATAGGCTGGGGGCATTTTTTTAGAGTCTATTCTAATCCGAACTTAAATACTTACTAATTTATTATAAGTAGAATTTGAACAGTTCGTTCGGCCTAATTTTTTTTTTTTGAGGTTTGATCTGAATTTGATTATTTATTACTCGCTGTTTTAAAGTGATTTTGCCTTTTATCAAAATTAGGGATATAATTTGAATATTATGTCTTTTTTCGGAATTTATTTTATATTTTTGTGAAGACATAATTTTGCAAATTTTTTTTCGGAAATCGATAATGAAGTCGGAAATTTATATGGGAAGTCAGAATTTTAATAGTTGCTTAAGCGCATGTTTAAAAAATCATCAATAGCATTACCTGGTTAAATAGAAGGTTTATAAAAAAAGAATTTAATTTGCAAAATGAGATGAGGTTGCTATGACTGAGAATAATGATATTTTACGGGATTGCTGAAACTACAAGTTGACAGTGGAAGTGATAAATTATAGATTAGTAATTTAATACGATTTATCAACTTTTCGTCTATGTATACCATTTCTAAGGATATATTTTTTACAGTGAGGAAGAAACAAGGAAATTGTGTGAAAAGCGTATGATGCATAATCTATCATGTACAATGTATAAAAAAAAGCGTATAATTTTTTAGAATCAGAAAACTTAAATTGATACATTGATTCTTTTTTGATTTTCATGTTTTTCTGATGTTGTTAAACTTTGTTTCCAGAGCTTAAATTGGGATCTGATTAAGTTAGAAGTTCATGTGAAACAAATAGTACAGCAAAAAATGAAAAAAAAATGAAAATGGTTATGTTTTGGACATGAATTTTCCAGTAAAGAATATGATTTGTTTTTGTTAAAATATAAATTAAAAAGAAATTTTACAGTTTGATGTATTTCTTCCAATTTTTCAATGCCATATGTCATAAGTTGAAGTAAAAGAAGGAAGAAAAAGAAAAGGAAAAATTTATCAATTTTTTTTGTTTTTCTTGAAGGTCTTCTATTCCGTTTTTTTTTTGTGGAAGAGTGAAAATAGCAGCGCAGGTGGCTGAAGGAATAGATTGCTTATGGCGGAGAGGAACAGCAGTGGTATATGTATGATTCAATTCAATGCTATTCTTCCTTAAAAAAAAGCTATACATATGCAAAGCAGTTAGCATCAGTAAAGAAAGGACAAAATGTTAACGATATATTCCTAATCTTTAATTTTATTCTGGACAATCATTCGGAATTGACTGATTATTTTGTGGAATTTGCTAGTTATTTCCAAGGCATTAATTTTATTAATCAAGTATTCCAGATAATTAGAAGCTGAAGTAAATTGTTATCCTTATTAGTTAACTAATTCTTTATAGTCATTTTGGGAAAAAATAAAAGCTCAGTTCATTATGACTGATTTTATGAGTGATTTATCAGATTTAATTTTCCTTCAGTAGATTGAATTCAACTTTTTAAATGCTATCATTTAAATATATTTAGTCAGCATGATGACGTCGTTTATTAGTTATGTCCAACATATTACGATAATAACATGTGGTATGCACGATGCATTCATCATATATTTTAATAATGTTGAAATGGTCAGTTAATGTAATCCAATCATAATTCGGAAAGATTCTTAGAAAAAAAAAAACAACGCACTTTCTTTAAAATTCTTGTGTTTTAATAATATTTTACTATTGATTTTTGTTACATTCATAATTTCAGTCATTTCTAATTTTAATCAATGTTATCAGATCATAATATAGGAGTGCATAAATCTTTTCATAATATTAGACGAATACTATCCCCTAAAAAGATCTTTTTAAACTTTGTAAATTTTCTTTTTCTAAAGGAAACTTGAAGATTTTTGATAAATATAATATAGAAAACGTTTGCGAGAAATATGACAAATAGTTTCATCATTGTACGACTAACATTTAATGATGAATGATGTAGTTAGGATGCTTCTCGGTCTTATTTTGCATTTTTCCGACATGCACTTCAATGAAGTGTTTAGTTCCTTTTTCTTTCTTTTTATGATTTTTGAAGTTATTGATGATTAATGGAACGAGATTGATGTGAAAAATAGACCGGATTTACGTATGTTTGGCGTAAGTACATCAGTATATTTTTGTGGTTGATGTCGAATATAAGTTGATGCGTTCCATTTTTCCTTTTCATTTTATCTTCAAGCATTTCAGGTCATCAGTAGAGAAGATAATGAGAAGAATTGAAAGTTGTGCTGTAATAAAATTGTAGTTCTAATTGATATTGCCTCTTGTTTTTTTTTTGTTTATTGTGGCAAAAAAAGATCAAAAAAAAAATTATTTTTCCGAAATATTAAATTGTTTCATTACTTCTGAAAAATAAATGAAACGAAGTTGCTCGGTAAAGAATATGGATTTGATCTCGCAATGTTGGATTCTGTTCCACTCATCACGAAATAATACATTCAGGTTTTTCTTTGTGTTACTTAGCGATAAATTGTCATGTTTAGTACGATATTTCGGATTACTATCTAAGATTTTATTTTGAATTATGACCACTTGTAGAGTTAGTGAAGTATCACAAATTGATAAAAGAGTTTTGCTACCCAAGAGAAAACGTTTCTAATCACTGGTACGACATGTCGAATTTTTCAGGCATGATAACAAAATCCTACCGCTCGGATTCTTATCTAAGATCCAGGAATTAAAAAAAGATGTTTCTTTAACATATAAGTAGGAGTGAAGCAATTGTGAAATACGAAAACACACAATAGTGGATGAGAAATGCTATTGTTAGCTGTATTATAGGCTCTCTTTTATCAAATTATTCATATTGATGCTTCGAAATCTCAGTACTTAAATCATAGAAAATGTGAAAGTAGAGCCAAGCATGGTATATATCAGTTTCCTTGATCTGTTATTACTATTTTTGGTGTTTAATACTGCATTGTATAGCAGATTAAATATACATCATAAGAAGTAAGTTCGAACATTCTCAAAGTACAGTGTCCTGTAAAGCTGTAAGCAAACATTTTGCTCTTTGTCAGTATATTTTCAGGAAGTCATTGTCGGTTGATGTCCTTGACAGAGCGGATTGTCAACAATTGTCTATGGTTCGATCACCAAGTAACTTTTCCTTCAAACTTCGTAAATCCAGAAGTCAAAACTTTATTAATGTTGTTGATAACGCAGACACCAATCTTGTATTGACAAGTTCTTCAATGCCTGCTGAAATGGAACGAACTACGGTTTCATTATCAGCACTTGATAAAGAAATTGAAACGACCTGTTGTATAGGTTGGTCGATTTATTACTGTAATCTGCTTAGAATTGATTCGTTATCTGTTCAACCAACTGCTGATATTTAAGATAATAGTTATTGCATCAATTATTAGTCGTCAATTACTAGTTTATGTCACTGGATTACGTTTTCTTCCGAAATTATGCGAATTCTTCGTCTATGGAGATGTTTCGAGAAGAGGAAGCTTAGCTCAGACAAATCTGGAGTAATAGAGGAAATTGAAGAAATATAAGTAATTCACTGCTAAGATCAGCCAAATTAGTACTTCAGAAAGAAGCTATGCTTTTAGCTAAAAAGTGGTGTAAGGTGAGATATGTTGTCCTCTGGCTGACACCCGATAAACACCATACATTACCGAATAATATTCATTCAAAAAAGAAGTCTAATCTCCGATCTCTTGGAAGATAATGTGTATACATCATACTGTATACTATGCTAGTGTTTTCAGAAACTTTTAAATTCTGAAATGCAGTTTTTAATTTCGAGAAAGAGTACCAAAACTAGATTAAGGTTTTCTCCACTAGCTGGCTGTATTTATTTTAAAAAAAAAAGATTTTTTTATTTTAAAGCAGATCATATTGACTGTGATCTACTTCAAAATAAAAAAATCTTTTTTCAAATCAGGTGTAAAAAAGACATGTATTGTAACGATGCTCGATGTTCGAGTAATATAATTAGTTGATGTGATTAATTATTTCATTTCAAATGATTTTTTTTGTTTTAAAGCAAATTATAAATGCAGTTTGCATATTTGGGATTTTGCTTGGAATGTGTTTCCCAGAACTCAATATTTTTATATTTCAGCATTTTTTGACTTTTTACGTATTATTTGCTCTCCGTCATTTTTGATGTTCTCGTTGCCTTCACATTAGTTGCAAACCAGCTAACTGTATTTAGAAAGGGAAAAGAGAGAGAAAGAGGGAAAAGTTCCTTTTCTTCGATTTGTAAACTTTCTCTAAACGAAATTAAATTAATCAATATACTTTCCTTCATCCGCTTATTTTCGTGCAGCAAAAAAAGATTCCGCATATTTGCTTCCTGAAATGGCAAGATCCCAGATGATGTTCTTCGTAAATTTTTTTATCATATCGCTTCATTCTTTAAATCCTGTTGCTATCTAGCTTAAGTTTTGCAGCTTTCCTCGTCACGGAGCATAGATGCTTCCGTTTATTGAAAATCGCGCTAATGAGCATCATAATTTCCGATGTTTTTAAATTTTCATTGAGTAGAATATTTTTTTAGAATTCATTCAATAAAATCAAAGATAATTAAATAGTTGATGAAATAAAAGTTTTTGTATTATTATCATATGGATGAAATTCGGTTTCTACGTATATGCCTATCTTTTTGATCTTTGATCTAATTTGAACTTAATTCACTTCACTGGTGCATTATTCATCGTATTTATCCATTTTTTTGCATAAAACATTATGCAAACATTCGAAATTTGACTTCATGTTTAACTGATAACCGTATTTTTAATCCATTTAGACAGTTTCTGCTAAAATTTCGTTCTTTGTGCAGTTGTTTATGATGCTCTCTAAAGATACAAATTAAAGTAAAGCGGAAAAGATACGGGACGACTAGAAGTCATCCAATTTTGATATTCATTTAGAAATTAAAATCAATTTTACCAATCCCTCTTTATTGATGCCTAAAGGTAGTAAGGATTCCTTTTGCACATCGTTCAGTTATTTCAAACTACCTTCATCATATTATTTCAAGAACATGGGTATTTTCGCAAATTTCGTTATCATTTTTGAGAAGAGGGGCGAAAGATGCGATGAAAAATGGATTTATTTTATTTTTTCTTTAAAGAGAACTTTTGCAATACTCATCCATTCTTATCCTATTCGTTAAATTGTCTTAATTTCATTTAAATTCTTTCATAAAATAAGAATCGAGCCAATATTGATTTTAGAACTTAATGTTTGAATTTATATATTTTTTTATTCTTCTCGAGTTGTAATACCATCATTCCTGATTAATACCTTTTAGTAGTGATTGGTGTACCTTGAAGGAATGTTGAGCACATTTGAATTCCTTTTTTGCCTATACAATGATGGTGTATGCACTCACATTAAAGTGAATGGTATTTTATAGAAATCTGATAAATTGAAAATTAATTAATTTGAAACATCGTTTCTTTTGGATTCTTATCTAATCTGCTTTCCATCCTTCTATAAGTTTTGCAACATACTACTGCTGTTTTCTGATAATTAAAATATTATAAGTGTTGAATTGATTAAATAACTGTAGGAAAATTTAATAACTCTGGTTTTGTTCGAAAATGTACTTCCGCTATTTGTCTAGAAAACAGAACAGCGAAAGTACATTTTTTATCAGTTTATCATCTATAGTAAGTTTTAGGATTGAACAAAAAAAAATGTCTTAATACTTTTTAAGGAATAATTTTATATGTTATGCCCATCTTTTTTTATTTAAAATTTTAGAAAGAAGGAGCTTAAGCGTTGATGATCGAAACCGATTTGCTTTACGAAATTTAGACTTACACGAGAAGTTGGATAAAATTCCACATTTTTGCGAAGATTTAAGTGCATTAATGGAGGAGCCATTATTTGACCCTTCGTTATCATATTTGATTTCAAGACAGAACACTTCATCAGATCATGGTTTGTTTCTTTTTTTGCTCAATATCTGGTTGTTAATTTCATGAGAATAATTTTAAAAAATTTTGGTTACTGTTAAGGGAACATGCTATTTTTCAGCTAAAAAATTGCTAATTCGAACCTTAAAATTGTTCGTTTTTAGTAAAATTCTTGTTTTTGCTTTTTTCCTTATTTAAGTATTCACATTTGAAAATTTGCTAACTCTTATTGGTGCCACAAATGCTATAAATTAATTATTATTTTGCTGTAATAGAAAGTAGCTATTATTTCGAAGAAAAAATATCATTCTCTTATTTCTTGTTGGTTATTTATTGACTCTTCTGCCTCCTTAATTACTTTTCATGCCTCCTTAATTACTTTTCAGTACTTTCATTAGATCTAACATATACAAATTTTCAGCAAATTTACAAATAAAAAATAGTTGCATAATATAATTATCTCTTTATTGTCGATTTTTTCCTGCTGCACACATTTGAAAATGTGCTAACTGAAAAGAATAATCCGAATCTCTTAAAAATAAATCGAAAAATTTCAGGATCTGCATGTAGTGAAGTCGATGATAGTCATGTTGATATGCAGTATGCATCAACTGATACGAATACGATAAAGGACAGTCAAAATTGGCAGTCGGTGACCAATTTATCTGAACTCCAAATTTCACCCACTAGTGAAATGTTGTATGACCATGATTTTGTGAGTTATTATAAATTACTTTTCTTTGTTTACAAATTTTGTGAATTCATTGGACTATGGATGTACGATTCATAAATTACCTATATTTAAGGATCTGAAGAATCTGTCGGATGAATTATCGTCATCTGAAAATTCCAAAAGATCCAATTCGTCTACGACTACTGGAAGTGCGGTGTATTTTACCCAGGTCATGAAATTGCCGAAAGTCAATCCTACTGATGAAGTAGATGGGCACATGTCGCATCAAAAACTCGAAAAGCAACTCGAACTAAAGTACATTTTAATTTCATTTTGTAATTTCAGTGAATTTTTCTGTTCTATCTCTCTTTTAAAAGTAATTGATAGGAGTATGAAAAGGCACGAGTAAGTTATCTATTCAATACAGCGTTATTCTTTTTGCCGTGAAAGTCATGTTGCATACATACCTTATAAAAGATTATCTTATTTGATTCACTCATATCTGTCCAGGCTATTGATAAGAAATGCAAAATGTTACTCATTGAAATGAATATTTCCGTTACTTATTTAAAACTGGTAAAAAATTCATTTAACGAAGTCGGTTTTTATCGTTTTTCGCAACAAATAAAATTATTTTCACATTGGAAATAAGAAATATAGTGAAATATATTTGCAGTGAGATGCATCTAAATCTTGAAAGTGAACGTCCTTCTGATGCCGAGAATCCTATTTCTTCGTCTTCATCTTGCGGGAAATTTCTAGTCACACTTTCGGATTCCGCACGTGAGTTGAGTGTCATATCAGAACACAGTGATGCTTATGTTGTGAGTTTTTTCCATTGTTGTTTAAAATAGAAATTGCAGTTTATTTTTGTATTAATACGGTGATTATGTGACTGCTTCTGAATCCATAATTCATCTTCTCTCATTTCCCGGACAAAAAAAAAATTGAGTATATCCAAAAAATAAAGTGAATAAAAAATGCAGAAAAAGTTAACGAAAAATTTTATGAATGCACATTTTATAAAAGTAAATATACCATAGCATTCTATTACGTAGAAACGTTAACATTTTGAGTAGTTAATGCAAAAGTTTAATGTTTTCAGAAGTACTCATTCTTTTGTTTCTATGTCCACTATGTCCATATTTCTTTTTAAACATGAGTAGAATAGTGTCAGCTTGTTCAAAATCTTGCATGATCATTTCATTTTATGGGAAAATGACAGTAATTGTAAAAAACTTTCATTTAGAAAAACATTTAGATCACAATATCAAAATCTTTTCTCACTTTTGTTTATGTATTGTATAGCGTGCATGATAGTACACATTTCACACTCTTTGAATGTTAAAAATCATTATTTGAAATTTAAAAGTAATATTTTCAGATTTTTTTTTCTGCAGGAAAATGAAATGCGTAACTCGGACATATCAATAAATGAGCCTAGTTTACTTGAAAAAAATCATCGTGAAAGAGCTGTTGATGTTGATGGTATTATTTCACAGCATCGTCGTTGGCATTCTGAAAGCAGAAATATAGTCAAAAAGACATGTAATCAAGAAGAACGGGTAATTTCTTTTTTCTCTCAAGTTGATTTTGAATTTTGATGATAAAAGTAATTTCAGTAGCTTTGATGTATATCTCAAATCATCAGGTAATTCCTTTTTTGCTGCACTTAGTTATGGAAAAAAAATTCTGCTTGAAACTAGCAATTTGTCAATGAACCTGGATTCTTTACGTCACATTATGAAAAGAAATTTGTTTTAGCTCTAAATGTTCTGTAAATCTTTAACAGCATTGCAGTTGATATCGTTTTTCATCAAACAATATTTAACATCGCTGTTACTCTAGAATTTGCAGAAAAATTATTTTTTGAATTTTAAATAAAAGTTTTATTTTAGAGATGTTTTCTTGAGTTTACTGTACGAATTTTTTTGGGCATAATTTAGGTACCATTAAAGAAATCAGTGCCGCTGCGTAATTCGCCATCACGAAATGGTGAACTTTCGGAGCGATGTAAAAGTCAAATGATTTTGAAAGAGGAAAATAATTTCATCAAGAATTGGGCAAAACTTCAAGTATTGGACGGCATCAAGAATTTATCATCCTCATCTCCGAACGTTAATGAAATGGCTATACCATCTCCATCTCATGAAGGTTATCATACTTTATGAATCTATCTAGCATTTTTTAATAAAAGATTATCTGACATTGCTAAAGTAAACTAGAATTAATGCAAGTCATGTACTACTATTCCTTAAATTTGTATAATTAATACTTTTATTCGTAATTCATTAACTTGTAATATCTTTTTTTATTATAATAAAAACAGGAATTTACGTTGATAAGAACAACTAATAATTAGAATTATATCTGAAAAACATTGTGTTTTTTTGCCGTTATATACAAATCACTGTTTTGCAGATAATTCTGAACAAGTAGTACAAGATATGCAACTTTATCCAACTGTTCAACATAAAGAAAAGTATAAATGGAAAGAAGCTTTACCAGCAGCATTTGGACCACATCAGGTATTATTCATTTCAGTTCAAAACTTTGACAAATTTGTGAAATTTTTCACGAAAAAATTGTTTAGCTCCCAAACTCTCTCATCATTCATTTAATAAATATCATGAAATGAGTCGTGGATAACTTAATCATTTGGATGAATTATTGGAATCTGAATGCATTAATGGCTCATTTATTCTGATTTGATAAATTATTTTATTAAATTTGCCATCATGAAGCACAAATCACGGATAAATTAAATTTCAAAGAGTTTTCAGTTTTATGATATGTTGCATTTTCATCCGAAATTTGGTAAATTTTGTATAGTTTAAATTCTGTCCAAGATTGCATGAACCCATACAGTTGTGGCGTTATTTTGTTGTTTGTGGGGTGAAAGATCATATGATGTGATCACCCATAATAGCAGTGCATTCTTGAATCTTGTGATGTGATGTGGAATAGTATGTGCTGCCATTTGATTTAGACAAGTTTGTATATATTGAAATATGATTTTATGATTAACATATTTCAATGGAATTCAAGATGTTTCAGCTCCGTAGCTTATCAAATCTCTTTAAAGAATAAATTTTTGCAGTACAAATTCCATGATTCCTTTCAAGAGAGTTTTTAGACCCAAATATCTGATTTAGTATATCTTTTATGAATAAGATTTCAAGATTATATTGTGTATAAGTTGTTTCTGTTCTGTGATTTACTTCTGCACCATTCTTATGAACACTGATGGTTTTTTCTTGAAAATTAGAATAATTTAAGGTTATTGGACCGATTCAACGATCTTCTCGAACAGTAGCTACTGGTTCTATGCGGAAGGCATCTGATAGGTTAGATTTACTTTAAAATACTGTTTTTTTTCGGCTGGAAAAAGAAAAGAATGTTGTTCATTTTTAAAATTTTGTTTCTTAAAATTCAAAAATAATCAAAAAAATAAAAAGAAACACCAATTTTTTTAGTTCTATACAATATGAAAAGAAAATTCGCGTTGAAAAGAAACATTCACGAAGGACAAGCACACTTTTCGACTTCTTTCGCGTATGTAATTTATATTTCTGCCAACAATTTTTAAATCAAAAATTTTCCAAATATAATTCACCTTTAAGTTTTTGACTGCTGAGAAAATATCGGTGAATGCTCATATATTTATGACCATTACTCTGAGAAAGTATGTCTTTTCTGTCGCTAACTCATGCAGTTATCTACCAATCATGGCGTACTAGTAGTTTCGTTAGAATAGGTGCATCGTGTTAACTCTTAGATTAATTGTATATATTGCATTTACTCGGTAGTGAAAAGTTGTTAGCTGAATTAAGGTGTGATTTTAGAAAATTCGGAAAAAAGTTTTTCAAAAAGTATGAAATTCTGATGTGCAAATTAGACTTAATCCGAAATTCTTTTTTAAAAAAAGTCAAATACATTTGATGTCATTATTAATTGAACTTTGATTTTTTACTTCAATTAATCCAACTGACTGATTTTTAGAAACCCGATTTACGGAGCTTTTCGGATGTTGTCACACCGGTTAATGATGTAAGTTTGGTTGCTTTTATTCTTTTAGAATCTTATTAACTTTACGATCTGACATATTTTTTCTACTGCCTATTAGATGATTTGAACGAAACCTTAAATTTAATTTTTCGACTCACGTGTTAAAACCCAAAACTTAATGAAATAGTGGTTGTCATCATCAAAATTCAGGAATATCTTATGGAATATATAGTCAGATTCTTATGTTTCTACATACTAAATACATTTTGACATTATTCGTCTAAACAGTTCACAATTTCACAGCTTATTCCTTTTAATTAATAAATATTTTTGTGGAAAGTATGATGTTATTAGTTTATCATTTTTAACCACTGTTTTCAGAAACGATCGACAATTGCAGAAGGATTTGATGGTTAGTTACATATTAACTGCCATCTGGGGATAATTATACATATTTTCATTTTGTAACATTTCATTTTTATTCTAAATGGAAGGAAATGTGCTAATATTGATTGAAATTTGAGAATGAATCTGAAATATTTCACTGTGCTATGCTATAAATATCTGTGGGTATTTTAAGGCAGTAAGATAAGACTTAAGTCGATGTTACTTTCCTCGTACTATTTTTCAAATTTATGTTTTTACTCTATCGAATTCGTTCGTTAATTATTCACTGCTCTCATTCTCTTCACTTACTGATCTTCCATATCATATGGTACAACACTTACTGCTAACGAATATCTTGATTCATAAAAAAAGGTCATCATATTTTGAATAATTCGCTAATTTTATTCGGTTTATAGGCCAAGTATTTTTTCCATAGTAATTTCTGAACTTTTACTAATTAACATACAACCATATTGCCCATTTTCTTAAGTATTTACTATGATTTCATCCCATTATTAATTTAAATCCAAAAATTTAATATTACTAGGATGAAATTATGTTTGAAATAAAAGCATAGATAAATTTATATCAGCCTAAGATTTATCATTTTCTTTATTCTGAATTTTAAATTTTGAGAAAGAGGAAATTCGCGCTTTGTTGCTTAAATTTAATGGTATTTGATCCATACAACACGAATGCTTTTCTGATTTTATTTCATTCTTTTTTATAACTCATAAATTTTACTGAAACAGCGGATGAATTTTAAGCGTAGAAGCAAAGAATAAAAAAGAGGCTAGCCATTTAACATACTTTTTTTTCTTTATTAAATTAATCTTTTCTTATTAAATTAAATTTTCTTATCAGGTAAATGTTGTATTATGAATTGAAAACCATGATAACTAGAATTTTCAATTGTGAGCATAATTTTTCTGCTTACATTTATTTTTAATTTACTATACATGAAAAGAAAAAGATTGTGAACATTGGAGGGCATCAAATATTAAAAATATAATTCTTTTCTTTAAAAGAGCATTTGATGCACCATCTTTTATTAGGAAAGTTTATTTGCAAGCATATAACGGACGTGCTAAAGAACGGAAAATGATAATAAAAGTCATGTATTTATAAATGCTCATTTAATTTTTTATATGGTTTATGGTCTGCGGACTTCCTTGAAAATATGGAAGACAGTGATAACAATTATCGATGAAATGAACCGTGATGATAACATTGTTAATAATGGGAAGTGATAATATTGCTAGATCAATAGATTGAAGATCTGATTTATGATCTTTCGTGTACAATTTTCATATTTCATCATCCTCAACATATAGCGATTAACTTCAGACGCTCATGGTAAAAAAAATCAACTATACGTGAAGCAAAATAATTATTCAAGCAAATTAAATGCTAATTTTTTAAACCATTAGCTGTTCATTAATGAGGATATTAAACGGCTTCATGTTGTAGCATCAAGAGATGCGCTGCAGAGAAGAATTATTGAGATTCTGATGAAGTTTAAGGAAATCTTTTGATCATCATCATCTGAATTTCACAGTTAATTTCATCTTAAAATTCCTAAGCGGATTTTCTTTCAAATGATAAATCTTAATTTCAGGGACATTGGATACTTTCACAAAACCATTATTAGACAAAATACCGAATACAGTTGGCACAAATGATGGCCGTTACTTAGCTGCCCATTTCAACAAAGAATCACAAAAATTTATTCCAGAAGTGTAAGAACATATCCTTTTAATAAATATATTAAAGAACTGTTTGCATCATTTTAACATACTTTTTGCAATCCATTTGATTTCTACGCATCGAACACTTATTTGGGAAAATTCTCGGGAGCGTACTCATCATGACTGTTTATACAAATGTTTCATAGGATGATGGCCGCAACGTGAACAACTTCCTGATTATTCTGTTATTCTAATATCTGATGGGAAAAAAAATTAATGCCAAAGCCTGGTGAGTTACTCTCTCGAAAATTTTCCCAAATAAATATTCTGATGTGCAACAAAACTTTTTAGAGTTAAATGATTTTGAAGTTGATCTAAATTCCAGGAACAAACCAGAATGGGCTGACCTGGATTTATGGATTGAAGAACCGGCAACATGGTCGTCTACTAACTATTCTCTCAAATTAAGTAAAAAAGAGCGGAAGAAACAAGATATTATTCATGGTAGGAAAAGATTTATTTTTGTCTTCACTGCATCTGTAATTATCAATTAATTATTTTATTCATTCCGTGTACTGTTAAAAGATGTGAGTGAATGGGATTTATTTGAATTGATTTTTAGATATCTGTTTTCAGAGCTGTATTTAACTGAGAAACATCACTGCCAAGTACTGGTAATTCTTCAGCAAGTAAGTTTTTATTATTTAATTTAACTGTTATTACGATGGTATTAAATTTTCATAAGTAAGAAATGGCGAAGGAGGAGGAAAATGTCAAGAAGCTCTTTATATATTTCGGAATCTGTTTACTGAATGGTTTTTCAAATTTTGTTTCATTATTAACAAATTTCATTGATTTGTGAAGATGAATTTTACATTGATTTTAGAGTAGCAATATGCATTCTGCATTAAACATATGTATGACGTAAGTTAATTCGAAGTTATTTAGAATAACTTTGTTGAATAAAAATAGATTTCTTATTTTCAGGTATATCAAGAAGGACTTCGAATAAAGGGTATTATGGATGAGGCAAAACAGAGCGAATTGATTCCACCCGTGTTGGATGCATTACTTGATTTTCATCTTAATTTTCTGCGACAGCTGAACCAGAAAAGATTAGAAACAGAAGTTGTTAATTCGATAGCAAAAATTATTTACTCAGAGGTAAGAAATATGTGGCTATTTTGTTGTTTCCATAATATTTTCATATTCTATCAGAAAAATGGGCAAATTTCGATATGATGTTTTTGCAGAAATTATAATTTTAATATTTAGAATAGTTGGAGAATACATTTATAGCTGGATTTAATAGCTGAGTAAATGATATTTGGTTTGTCGATTTATTTTGAAATCAGATACAAATGGTTCATATTGGAAAGTTAAAGTTAATGGTGCCCAAAATGTTTTTTTTTCTCAGGAAAATTATCTTTATTTCTGATAATCTTGCAGCGTTATAATCAGTTTCTTTATTGAATTTCTGCTTTGCTGATTGCAGTAATATTTTCCTATTCTACACTTTGCTGTTATAAACTCAGCTGATAAATTTTGCTTGCAGTTTGAAAATGGAGAACGAAATCAGGCTGCAGTATATGCTTATACGGAATTCTGTTCAAAGTACGATCAATGTGGTCGTTTATATGACGAATGGATGTTAAAAAATGCTGAGCTTAGGAAATTTTTTGATGTAAGAAATTTGATCGATGTCAAGTTATTTTCAAAAAAAAAAGTCATTAGCAGACCAAATTTATGTAAAATTTCCGATTATTGAAAGATTTTTATTTTTTCCAGCAATATGAACAAGATTCAACTTATAAAGGACGAACGTTCAAAATGTGTTTGCTGCTAATTGCTCAGAGATTGACTAAATATCCTGTACTAGTTGAAAAAGTGAGTGTAAATCTACATTCTTTCTATATGCCATAAATACTTCTCTATAACTTGTTAATATAACTTATCACGAATATTTCAGTTGGCACTGTTATTTGGTCTTAGTCTTTATGCAGAATCAAAACTAAATTTAAAGGGAAAAATTAGCAGAGAAATGATGAGGCATCTAAAAATAGAACCGTCACAAATGAAGACCATACACCATAAGGATTGTCAAACTTTTGATAAAAGACAATAAAAATAGTTTTTTTTTCAGAATAAATGACTTTTATTTATTCTTTTTTATTAATTGCCTAGTTTGTAATAATTTACATATCGAGCCAAACAAGAACTTTCCCATTATTTTCAAACAAAGGATACAAATAGTGGACGATATATGATAGGATCAATATTTCTTTGTTACTTTTTAAAATTGAATTTGGTTTTGTTAAAAATATCTCAGTAGACTTTTGGATTTCTAAATTTCATTGACTTATTTCCTGAATACTGACGAGTATAAGTTGTTGCAGATTACTGAGATGGAAAGTGGTGCAGCAAAAGAAGAAAGCGTACGGGCTCATCAAGCAGTGAAGAAATTTGCGATGCATGTTAATAATGAAATTGCTAAGTTAGAAGTATGTAGGCGTTGGGATCGAATATGTTCACAAATGGATCATTCATCAAAAGGTCGATTTGGACCGAATGATTTTTTTACAGTACGTTAATGCAATTTTTTTAAATTGATATTTTGATCCAATTTTGCTCCAAAAAAAGGATGCGTCATATTTCTGTTCTAGTATGATGATCTCATATTAAATGGCAATGATGAGAAACGACGTGTAATTTGCATAGGTGGTGCAGTTTGTCAGAATTCGCAGAAAAAACAAACTGAAGGAACAGGTAGACTTTTCGTTGAATGATAGCTTTTTCTGCCAATTTTACTTTTCCTATTCATTTCGATTTTTACTTCATATATCTTTTGATTTCAACTATCGTTTGATGAATAATATTATAATTCGTTCCCGACATTACATGATATCTTCCGATTTGCTGAAATTTCTGTTCTAGTTCATTTTTTCAATTATGAGACAGGGAATTTACAAAAATGAAAAAAAAAAGGATAAAACATTGTTATGAATTAACTGAAATTATATTTTAAAGCATTTTGGACATATAGTTGGTTGTAGAATTTTGTTCCACTTTATTTGTTGGCAATTTTTATTATGCACTGGGCATATTATTATGAAACTTTTTCAAGTTCTGTAACATATGTGCTCCAATTAGGAGGTACAAATCAGAAAACATAAATATGTAAAATTAATATTTCTTAAGAGATCTTTAAATACATTTCAGAAGTAGTATTAGTATTATTCGATGATATTCTGATCATGTTGACAAATTCGAGTAGCAGCAAATATGTGTTTCTTGATCGTGGATCTGGGGTTTTTTTTTCCTTTTTTTTCACTTTTTAATATGCATTTTGCATTTTTTTACTTTTGATATGAATGTTGATGCATCTGAAATTCCATCTTAGATGATTTATTATTAAACTATGAATTAAGAAAGTATTAGTCTTACTTTCAAATTTGACTCTTGCTCAGATTATTTTTTTGGACTTTTAATATTTAAAAGCCAAAATAATTTTGTCTAAAGAAATAAAAGTTGCAGAGCACAGTAATTGCACTAAGTAAGTTACTGGTTCGTGAAGTGCCACGTAGTACAAAATTATTCTTCTTGCTTTCTGATGATCCGTGTCCTGATTTATTTGTTGTGAGTTTTGCTTCCAAAGCTGATGTTGACCAATGGAAAAAAGCGATTGAAATGTCAAAAAATATGGCACCGAAATATGGTTAGTTCATTTCAACATGATATTAGTATTTTGATAACTGGACCATAAAATGTCAGATTTGAGAGTGGCAACAATTGGATAATGTATGCATATTCGGAGATTTTAAGGAAATCAAGGATATTACCCCGTTATCATTTATAAATCGCAAAGCTTAGCATAATGATTTGGAAGTTGTTCCGATTAGTGACATAGTGAAGTTATTTCAGGAGTAAATTTTTTCTTTAATTTCTTAAGTGCTTGGAAATTGGTAATTAATTTCCCATTGTCTTAAACTTCTTAGTTTAGATGATATGTTTACCTAAGCATAGTTCAAATGGATTTTTTATCCGATTATCTGTAACATTTGGGCTTCCCTCCAAATGAAATTTGTTTAAATATTTGATTGTTTGCTTTTACGTCTCTTCTCCTTTGTTCTTGTTTTAATGAAAAATTTCACCATTATATTTCTCATTAACAGTTGATGATATCTCCTGCTTCCCATAGGAATTAGTCCCCCTCAGGCTATGTACATATACATACATATGTATATATGTATATATATAAACTTGCAAACAGGCATTCGTTAAAGATATTATTACACTTCTATACCACATACAGAGAGTATAAGATATATAGTTTGTTGTAATTACACGAAATGCATAGTGCACACACAGATAAACATGCATAACATTATTATGATATTGTTTAAATGATTTATTTTAAAATTGACACATTCTATTAAGATATTATAATTGTGTTTCGACCTCTGAAATTAGCATTATTGAAAATTTTAGACCCACAAGATTGTTAGATTTTGAAATAACTGAATTGGAATATCAGAGGTTTTATAACCTGTCAGTCTTAAAATGATTTGAAAATTCTTTCAGAAACGAAGCTGTTGTTTGTTTTATTCTCGTGAATAAAACTTTTGCAATTATTTTTTTGAAAGGATTCCAATTTAACCGTAGACATTAGAGATTTTTTGAACATTCTAAGTCCAATCTGCGATTGATTGCGTAATTATGCAATGGATTCACCACTTTAATAATTGAAAAATTTGAGGTGATTGTTAATTAATAGATTCATTTCCATCTGCTCCATCCTGTTTCAAACTGGACAGTTTGAATAGCTATGCTTCTTGTTTGGTCTTTAGTTCTTTTGGAGTTTAATAAAGAAAAGAAAGCAGAATATGATGCGAAGGTTCATAGTGTGTGTTTGGTTTTTATTGCTTTAAGAAAATTTAGTGCTAGAAAAATTCTTCATATATTTAACTAAAACATCTGTAAACTTTGCAGTAAAACGTGCCATAATTTCAAGTGCTATGAACTTGCCGGATGAAGATCCGGAGGAAAGGAGGTTTAACCAAGAAATTGCAAGATGGGAAGAAAAATTGCGTGAAATTTTTGGTGAGAGTTTTGCCTTTTGAAATAGAATAAAATTTCACTTTTTTTTAAAATTGGTAAAATAAAATGGGAATATCATCAACATTAAATGACACGTGTATTTGAGAATAAAAAGTGGTTTGATTCTCAACATCTTAATACTGTTTTTAAGCAAATTTTACAGATAAACGCATAAAAAATGAAAGAGAACTGTCAAACTACATTGAGAAACGATTAGTGTGGTTTGAACAGCTACGTTCACATATAGCAAAGGTTCCATTAATGGATCGAACGGATACGACTCGGAACACTGTCCGAGAAAAGGTACCGTTATTGTTGTTGTTATACTTGACAATTTTTCAGATTTTTTGGTCTAATTTCTGGATTTTCTTTCATTCAGTGTGATAAAATTTGAAATGGTTTTGCATTTTTGTTTTTCTTAAAGGCATAATTTCATTTCAGATGAAGGGTTTGGTAAAACAAAAATTTGCTGAATTACGAGCAGCAAGACGAACTTCGTTGAGCAGAGGTTAGTAGTGTTTGTGCAATCATTTTCGTTGGATCTTAATTTGGACTTTTTAATATTGGAAAGCTTTCAAATTTTTATATAGTAATGAAAATTAATACACTTTTCGATCCTATATAATTAGTTACAGTAGTGCAACGCGCTGAACGAATGTATGAAGATGATTTTGTATCATTTTTTGATGATACATATGATGCTGGTGCTTGCACATCAGATTCGAATCATTCCACTGATCAAAGTGAAAGTGATGAAGGTCGTCAGAAGTTGCCGAGGCGAAATAGAACCTTCAGTGGTATTGGTGAGCGAAGGAAAGGTTAAATATAAAGTTTGTTTGAAAGATAAATTTTAATGTTGCAATTGAGCTAATTTAATAAACACAAGGAAATTTGCTTTAAAAATTGTATTTGACATTCAAGAATGAGTTGGGAGAAATTTTTCATTAATTTCATTTTGCAGGTGGTTCTGTCCGACGACATACAACGGAGCCTAAAATAGCAGATGCAAAAATATGTGAAGAGTGCGATTCTGTTACAGAGGAGGAAGAAATGAGGAGGCTTCCGGTTTTTATTTTCATCTTTACGATCATTTTTTTGGTAGTCAGTAAACCTACTGCGAAAGGCTAATCTGGAAGGATAGTAGGAGCATGAGCAGGATATCGGTTTCGAATGTTGTTCCTAGGAATTATTGCAATAATGGTTGACGTTTGGAACCTTTTCTAGTCTTTATTTTCCAGAAAATAATTAGTGAAAAAATTTTAGAGTCATTTTCTTTTGTTTTTTTAATTTAAGTTTTCCTTTTTATTTGCAGTTGCTCTTGGGTCCGGTGGCACGTCGTGCAGCTATAAGTATTATTCGAGAAAATGCTCAATTGAGGGTTGAAAATAACCAATTACAAAGTGAAATTGCTTTGTAAGTTTCTTTCTGTGAAAAGTTTTTATCTAACTTTAAAAAATGATAATACAAGAAGGGATACTTGGATACTTTGAGATAATAACATATTTCATATTTTTGTGCTTTATAGTTTCTCTTTCCTCAGGGTGAAAACATTCAGTTAAGGAATTACTGCATGTTTTTTGAACTGAGTTATGTAATTTGTATCACTATAGCTCTCATTGTTCTGTTCATTTAATAATGAAACCTGTTTATTTTTAACGTAAGAATCTTCTTTTCGTTAACCTTCAAAAAGAGCTTGTAAAAACTGGTGACACTTAATGAAATATTATGTGTTTTACCTTATTTTTTTGAGAATTTTGCTTCTGAAATTGACTAGATAATAGGTATCGTAATTAGTCATTTTTAATTATCAATGTAATAATAATTTTCATTTGATAAAAGTTAAAAGTTCCCCAATTTTTTCTTTCAGTATTAATTGTTGTATTTGATAATATATAATAGAGCTGTTGATTAGTGCAAATTGCCCCATAACAGTTTGAGTAATTTGCCGTAATCATTGTAGTAATACGTTAGTCTCCATTTTAGTTGAAGTATAGTGCAATATTTTTTATCAGCTGATGTTATCAGTGGTGCAGATGCATTTTTTTGTCGGAATATAAAGGTCTTTATGAGTTGACAAATTACAGTCGTGAGCTGCGTATTGCATCACTGAAGAGTCGACGTTTGGCGACTATTCCAGCCAGTGCATTGGAGGCATTACGCAACAAACAAAATGAATTACAAAACGAAAAACGTGAATTCAAAATATTTTGCGAACTTCATGTAGATGAAATAAATCGACGGACCACGGAGCTGTTGGAGAAAGAGGTAATTTTTAATATTTTATGGAATTAATGAAGCAAAGTTGATTTAAATGATAATGACTTCTTGGGTCATTTGAATTGAAACTTCAGTGGAAGTAAATACTGAGTATCTGGATCAAACGGTGCGAGCTATTGATAGTTTTTGAGAGAATTAATAGTTGGAGTCTTGAACTTTTCCCATGAAGTCCTGTTACTTGCTTTTTTTTTTTTTTAAATCTCTTCGCTCTATCAATCATATATAAAAGTTCTGTTTCTCGTTGAGACGAGCAGTTCTAGTATCTCTAACTCTTCATTAATAATCTTCGTCTGTAAACATCTCAGATGATTGTTCCACGTGTTCATCATTCAATGGATTATATTGTCATTAATTTCCTTGCTTTGTAATTAATAGCGGCCGCTAGCATCTATAAATAAAGTTGAAAACTGACAGTGGCGGTCTATCAAAAAAAGAACGAAAAAGATTCTGGATAAGATATGTACATATTAGGTGGTTAATTTTGTGCACGTGAGCTTTAGATTTCATAATTTACTTGTCATATCCCTCTTTCGCTTTTTGTTGATTAGTGATTAGGATTATTACTGTAATTGTTTTTTTTCCTTGAATTTTTTTTTTCACTAAAAAGAACTTAACGTTGATCCACCTGTCGCATTGAATTTGGATGAAGTTTGACAAATAACGTCATAAATTTGTCTGTTAGATGAACTTGATGTCTTTAACAATAATACCGCTGCAGTTTATGGATTGAGACAAAGATTCGTTAAATTATTTGTTGATATCTAAAATTTACAAACGTTTGAATCAGTCTTAGGTGGAAGTTTTTTAAATTATGTCGAACTTTGATTTGGTTCATGGTACTAAAATTAGGGAAAATTGCAGTACCATGTGTACTATTAAAGTTGGCTATAAAAATGAATGCATTAATGGGAGAGTTTGAGCAGCTGATACAAGGGATTCAGGAGAAAGGAATGTCGTCGTTTCAGTATTTATCCACCTGTCCTACTAGACTTATCTGAAGTTTGATGATGTCACAAATAAGGGAAAAGAGGATGTAACATTTTTATATACCAGATCTCAGTGAATGAATCAATTCTGCAAATCTCAATAAATGTTTAATTTTAATTTCTTGAGTTCTGAATGATTCACATATTTACAAAGTCTAATTCTGTCGTTATAGGCTGAGCTGAAAACTCGTGAGGAACAATTACAAGAGCAGTGGGTAAAATTCTACGAAATGAACAATTCAAGTTCACCGAACCATCTCTCACATAATATGATGAGACCAATCAATTCAGCAACTTCATTTGACCGATCAACGTTAGCTTGTCGCTTTTATCAGTTTCAAAAAATTTTTAAAATATGAAATAGAAATTGAACAATCATTAATCGTGTTCGCAATTACATAGGTTGAGCAAGGTTAAGGCATCTAATCCTTAATTCAATCTTTTCCAAAAGAATACCTGATTTTTTTTTTTATCATCAGGCAATAACATGGGAAGAAAACTAATATCGATAATTCTTTTACTAAATACTTGTATTCATTTTTCCAAAATTCTGTTTTTAAGCATATGTTTTGTTTTGCAGATCGGTACGTAGTGTAACATCGCTCAGTAAATCACCTAGTGGTTCATCTATACCATTACATCTAGCCGAAAAAACTGCCAAGGTATCACGCTCAAAAAAGTGATTGGGTAAAAAGTTCAGTCAAACATAGTGTCTTTTCCGCAAATGATGATGACTCGTTCATTTTCATAGATTCTCAAATTTTTTTAATTACAATTTTCTTGCCAGTCGTAAACTTCACTTCCTCATGTTATATTCATTGTATCTTTCCTCTCTGAATTACTTGTTCTTATGGCGTGAAATTGTATGAATTAATTAACTTAAAACTTCTGTCTTGTGAAAGATAAGATTCTTGAAGATGCGAGTTAGATTAAAATTTTTTCCAATGTAGAGAATACAAAAAAAAAAAAAAAATAGAAAAATTAGTTAGAAGTTCAGCAGATTGGTATCTGCGAAGCTGAAACAAAAGAGAATTGTTGTTTTTTTTTTAAATGCTGTCTAGCTTTTATTATTGTGGTTTAACTAGAAAGAACTACAAGCGAAAAATTGATATTAAAATTACTCTCATACTCAAAGCAATATTGTTTTTCAGAAAATATCTTTTATCGTAAAGTTAATCAAATAGTTGAATTTAGAAGTAACATTTCGAATTAAGCTTAATCTTTCAAAAATTTTTGATAAATTTTACTTAAATGATTAATCCTCTTCATTTATGCACCCCTTTTATCGATTTCTATTACAATTTTGCAAGTTGCGCGCAAATTGCATATTTTTGAAACATTAGTCATTTTTAAACAACGATTTCATTAAATCCATTTTTGTTTTTAGAGTTCTTTTGCAGAGCCGGTCATTTTTCACTAATTGTTGAAAAATTTGATCACTTTTTGTCTCAATAGGGACATTTATTCAATGCTTTTCTCATCTGTGGATTTGTGTTTTGTCTATTGGAACATAAGTTACTTACTAAGTTAACAAGATAACTGTGTGCTTATTTATTTTATATGTATAGTCATTCTATTCATATTTGTAGGAGAGTGCTGTAATATTTTTTTGACTTTTTTCTGAAAATTATGTCAATGACGAATTGAATTGAACTTCTTTTGATTTTTTTACGGGAGAGGAAAACGAAAAAGGTATGTAAATCATGATAATTGTCATAATTCCTTTGGTTTTCTTCATTAGTTGTAATGAATGAAAGAGATCAAAGACTGATGTAGAAAGAAGTTGAAGGATCAATTTGATAATTTGGAATATGCATAGATTTTTCCAAACTTGTGTGAAATGCTATATTTATGTGAATTATTCCCTCAATATTGTTTATTTTGGTTTTCTTTTTCTCCTTTTTATTTATTATGTTACTTCAATTGTAGCATGCTTAGAGTGATATTTCATTATCGATACTTTCTTGTTTTTTTTTGGCTTTTTCTTGAAGATTCACTTAAAATGTTTTTTGCATGCTTTATTTAACAAATTATTTTGTTTCCCTTGTACGATTGCATCCAATATCAGTTAATTGTTTATCATCACATATGCTTATATGTGTAATATTGAAATCATTTCATTTGCATTTTGTGAATTTCCAAAAAAAATTTCGAACATTTTCCCATTCATTCATCATTTTGAAAGAGAAGATTCGTTTTTTCTTGTTTTGTTTTTTTTTTGTTTTTTCAAATATTTTTTAAGCGAAATTTACTACTCGGAAATAATCGGGTATACCTTTACAATATACTGTTTACTGGTACTGCGTATATTCCTCTCATTATTATTATATTGTATATTATTATTGGCAAATATTTATGATGCATAAACATCAAAAAATGCCTTCAACATTTTCCTCTTTTTTCATTTAAAATTTACAGTTTTTGTTGAAAGTTAAACAAAATAATGTTAAAATTGATCAAAAAATATTGGATCTCAAATGATAATTCATTGAAGCAGTAACTTTTACGTCTTTCCTATTATTTTTCTAAAATTATTGCATTTTCATAAAATATTGAATTTCATTTAATTTATGATAGGAAGAGAGAAAAAAAAATGTCCTAGTTTTTTCCTCTACATTTAATGCCACTTGTAACAACATATGTTTGATAAGAAAATGTTTCTCATATAAATGAAACAATGGTTGATTGTAGTAGTAGTAGTAGTAATAATAGATGTAGTTGTTACTATTGCAGTATGAGTAGTAACAGTCATTAATGAAAAAGATTGTAATCTCCAATCATCAAATGATATTAATTTCATCTCTCTTCACTACCATCAAATACTATGATTACTGCACTGACCCATCAAACTTTATGAAGATTAATCTATTTTTGGAATGTATCTTTCGAACACCTTAATTTCATTACCTTTTCTCTTCTCCTCTTTCTCTTCCTTTATTAGTTTCCTACCTAACATCGTACAGATCTGCGAAAACTAAGATATATTATTGTTTAACGATCGATTGCGGTACATGATAACTGTGTGTTATATTGTCATTATCATTATCATTATTTAAAGATAGAAAAAAAAAAGGAGAAGTGAAAAGGTTGTTGAGAAGAAAATGAGGAGGAAGAGACTGGAATAGATTTGTACATTTTTAATTTAAGATAAGAGTCATTAATAAAGTTGTTTGAAAAAAGAAAAAAAAATTCATAAATGTAAAAAAGGAAAAAAAAAATGGAAAATTATTGAAAAGAAGAAGAAGAAGAAGAAGAAAATGACCTTGTAAATTTTTAAAAAACAAGGAAATTTATTTTCCTTCCCAATCATTGAAATGATCCATAGTAGTAGCTGAAAAATGAAGTTTATTAGTGAATCTGCATTTTGTTGAATGTGAACAACAATCATTTTGGATAAGAAATTAAGGCTAAACAATAATTTGTAGAAATGAATATTGGAAATGAACATTAAATGTGGCATTTTCATTTTCTTTTCCTTGACAATTTCTGTAGATGTAATTAATTACTGATTACTATGAAATCTTATAAAAGACATGAATTCGTTTTAATTCAGTTAATTTGGTTATGTGAAAATTTTACAAAAATACTAAAAATGTGGCCTTCTAATTTTGACTTAATTTGGAATACAAACCATGAATAATCCGTAGGATGTATAACGTCAACATTGATTGCATTGATATTTTAATTTCGAATATAATTCATTATTAAGTGAATAGAAAGAAAGAAAGAAAAAAATGCTTCCAGACTGCTACGATTAAAATGCTTTCCTATTCATTTTTTTCCTGCAATTTCAAACTGCCTATTTCAAATTCAGCTAATTTAAATATACTTTCATCTTCTCCTTGGACTAAACTTTTAAACTTTGTCTTTTTTTCCTATTTTTTTCTTCCCAAATAATACATATTTGCTTAAAAATATCTTACAACACACTAGCTTTCTTCTACCTTAACAT